TACTTTGAGCAGTTGAACTGGGACCCGAAACTGCAGCCCAAACTGCGCAAACCCTGTAAGCACCCTTCGGCACTACTACCTTTCACCCACTGTGCAGATTCAGCTGGCACCAGGGCCAGCAGCTGCCTATCTTCTGCAAAAGAACTGGCAAGTTTCCTCCAGGCCTTCGAGAACACAAACCTGCATAGATCACTTTCCCTCCGACCTCCGTGGGAGAATTGGGTCGCAACGACTGCCTGGTTGGCACAGCTCCAAAAGTCAGGGTGCGTGTCTTGAGTCGTCGCTGAACCGCAACTCCAACTCCGACTTTTCATCATCACCGGTGTTTTATTTCCACGGCGTCTGGTCACAAACGAGGAACTTGCTGCACTGATGCTGGGGATGGTGATGCAGAGGGCAGCCACAGCTGCAAGCATGTGAACCTGCCACATGTATATTTAGGAGTTTGGACTATGGGGCCCTCTCAATAGCGCCCGTTTGAAGAGCCACGAGTAGGGTTGAGAAGGGTCCCCTTTAAGGGGTCTCCATAACACTACCTAGGTATATGCAATTTTGGCAACAACAAGCACTCACATTGACCAAAGCTCTTGGGTTCAGCATCTATCCCAGTTCCGTTTCGTCACTTGAGCCGTGCTTTGTTTGAGCTTACGGCTTCTTGCTGGTGTGACAATCTCATGCTTGACATCAAGCTTGTTTGTTGTTGTATGATAAGACTCACTACTGCTGTTACATTGAAATCGCTTGCGGCTACTGCTCTTGTTGTTATTGCCTGTTCTGCTGTTGTTATTCCTATTGCGTGCTGTCCTCCACTAATTCTCATACTGCCAGCATGATGGAGGTCTACACCAATACAGTTCCTTATCCTGAACCCAACACCCCACGCCCAAAACCAGAAAAATCTAAAACTCCAAACCCTTAAACCCGAAATCCTAAAACCCTAAACCCTACGTAGGGTATTCGGGTTTCCTAAACGCCTATATAAGCCCAACGGGCTCCCCCAGTTGAAAGCCTAGGCTTCGACTTCGTTAAGAAACAGGGCCTGCTTCTGCGAAGGTGTGGGTAGGCGGCAGGATCCAGAGCTTGAATCTGGGGGTTTAGGGCTTAGGGTTTAGGATGCTGAACTTAGGGTTTAATTAAGGTTTAGGATTCTGAACTGAGGGTCCAAGGTTTTGGGGCTCAGAAATTTCTAGTTACTAGTTCTTGGTGCCCCGGCACCTTCAACTTAAACTCTTTGACTCAAGATACGTCGGTCTGATGCCTTAAAGTGCCTCTAGCACGGAGCCCGAGCATGTTCACGCTAGAGGCTCCGCGCGTGGCACAGCCTTGTGGGGCAGATCTAAATTCGGAGAGATGCGTATTTGGCCGACAGGTTCGGGATAGAGTCGCCAAGACTGAGAGATGGATGTAGCCACAGCAACAATGCAGTAAACTACATCACAGCCTGCCTGAACATACAAATATGTGTTCCTACCATACCATATATATATATATATAAACACATTCGTACATGCATGCATGTATGCTCACATATGCAGATATGTATATATATATATATAGCAGCTGTAATGTACATTCATGTGTGTATGTGTATATATATATATATACATATGTGCATATGTATGTGTATGTGAAAGTGTATGTGTGCGTTACACGCATATGTCTCTCTGTGTCTGTGTGGATGTGTGGATGTGTGTATACGCATGTATGATTGTAGGTAGGTAGGGACGCAGCTAGGTATATACACACATGAGCACACATTTTTGAAACATATGTATGCGTATATATATATATATACACTTACGTACACTCATCCTACATGTGTGTGTGTACATGTTTATCAAAATGTGTCTGTGTTTACTCTATGTTTATGCTTACGGATGATAAAGGTCCTTGTTTGCATTCCTTTCGCATGCGCAACACGAACCTGGAGCACTATGACACAAACTGCAGCAGAAAGCAACTGCTCCCACAAAGGGGGTCCAGATGCCGCCCTGGCCAGCTGCAGATGCTCTGTCACTCCGCAGAGGTGCGAAGAATTTATCGTATACGCTTATCGTCTCTATATATGTAAACGAACATATGCTCCTCAGACCACAAAGTCGTCTTAGAAAGGCCCAAGAAACAACGCACTAAGAGAATGAACGAAACCCCATGTCCCACGGTCTCAACACTGCGAGACCAAGCAGAAAACCCTCAAGACTTTCGATTTCGAACGACAGCGCCTGTTGGGGATCAGCAGCCGTTTTGAACCCTGGCCCTAAGGGTCCACGTGCCCAAATAGTATAGACTTTGCCCTTGAAGTAATCCATTTGGACACAAGGACCCTTAGGGTGAAATCCTGGGTGAAGGGTTTAGGGAGTGATATGGGTAGTTCTCTAAAGTAAGTCCATTTTAGGGTCCTCTTGAGAAGGGTGCCGTACCATATTGGAGAGGGCCCTAATTTTAGAACTACCCCTATTCGGGGCCCTTAATCAAGGGAATAGGGGTCCTGTACAAGGTTCCTGTAAAACAATGTACAAGGGTTTCTTGAAATGGCTTTATAGTATAATCATGATTGGAATAGGGTTCGGGGATATACCGTGAAAACCACTGACCGGAAACCTGAACATCATCTGGAGTAGATGGCCGGTGGAATGCAGACTATGGATGGATTATCTACTCCATGCTATAGTCACCCGTCTGTGATGCACCACAACCCGAACTGGACACAACACCCAAAGCACCTTCAATTGCACTGTAAATCAATCGATTCTGCGAGGAACGACAAAGCAAATTGCAGGCACTCAACAAGATTTGCTAAGCGGCGGGGAACTTTCTGCTGCTACTAGGCGTAAAAACAATTAGATGAGTGTCGCTCATTCCCATCATGGTTCCAGGGTGCATGAGCAACGGGGACATGCTTCCGATCTTCTGCTGTGCGCAGTGCATCACTGCGCTGACAGTGAGCAGGGAAGAAGTGCGCCAAAAGACTCAGCAAGAAGCCATTTCCTTCACTCGCCGGGGCCCATTATAATTATACTATAATTCTACTAGGGAACCTGTTTAATCAGAATAGGGTTTTGGGGCCCATTATACTATGTTTCTATGAGGAAACCCCCAAAATAGCATTGGCAATTTGTTTTAAGGCCCTACCTTAAGAGCTCGAGAGAGAGAGATCAGCCTCAGGCGGCGAGGAGGCTGTCCGGGCATTCGACAGGACAGACCTGCAGCAGCTAAGACTTTGGGTTTAGGGTTTAGGGTTTAGGGTTTAGGGTTTAGGGTGGGTAGTTCTCTAAAATTAGGGTCCCTTTTGGGAGTCCTTTTTACAAGGGTGCCGTACTATATTGGGGACCCAGAAAGGGACCCTAATTTAGAAAACTACCCACATGGTGCAAAACGCCGCCGCTTCATGTAGGGGCCTTAAGAATTAGAGTAGGGTGTTGGGCTCCTTGATAGTATATTTACAATAAGAACCACCCAAAAAATAGAATAAGCAATTATTTAGGCCTAGGCCCCTACATGAGGGGGATGCTTGGAGGCAACTTAAAACGCTGATCCCAACCCCCCCCCCCCCACCCAGCTTCGGGATTGGGCATGGGGTCTGTCTGCCTAGATTTGTCGGATCCCGTCCTTGGTGTTACGGCGTGGATTTGGAAGGTTTAGGGTGTTGACGCTCGTGTGGCTCCAGGCGCACTTGATATAGTTTCAACCATTGGAACAGGGTTCCTTCAAACGGGCTCGATAAGGGTTGCTGTAAGGGCTTGGCATAAGGGCCTTCATAGTCAGAATAAGGTTCTTGGGTCTTGCAAAACGAAAACCACTTCCACACTACTGTTGATGATATATGTATATATATTCTGCATTAGCTTAAGGACCCTAAACTATGAGAACTATGGTATATTCCTAACTATGGGTAACGCAGGATTTAATTCTTCTCATCAACCGCAGTCCTTGGGGTTCGGTAGCAAAACATCGAGGAGCCCTTACTTTCAGTCTCCCCACCACGATCTCAGAGTCGAGGCAAACTCCACGGCCCAATGAAAGCAAACACTCCGAATTGGAGGTTCATGGGTAGTTGTAAGGCTCCTTTAAGGGATCTATAAGAGGGTTCTATAAGGGCTCTATAAGGGTTCCTATAAGGGGTCTATAAGGGGTCATATTTGGAGGTTCATGGGTAGTTTTAAGTAGAGTTATAAGTAGGGTAACTATACTTATAACCCTACTCGGTTGGGGGACTTATAACACGACTTATAACTACCCATGAACCTCCAAGTAAGAGCCAAAGCTATACACCCAAGCCCCTAATTCGGTTTTGGGCTTAGGGGTCAAGGTTTGAGGGAAAATCTTGAACTTAGCGGCTGAGTACCCTAGCATAAAAGAGGTTAACTTTTTGAATTAGAGTAGGCTTATATAAGCCCCAAAAGGTAAAAGGTTACCTACTCAGCCCCTAAGTGAAGGTCAAAAGCTTGAACTTCGCCCAAGGATGGATAAGACGACTGAGGCAGCCGTACCACCGTACCACCTCGGTTCTCTAGACCCTAAACCCCTGAACCCTAGACCCCCGAACCCCTAAACCCCCAAAC